TAATAGCCAGAAATGGTACTGCATCTTGAATGCGTTATACTTGATGAAGTTTATTGTTGTTTGGGGTATAGTCAGGTCTACCAAGACCATATAAATTGGGTTTAGGCTGTATCCTTTACGTTCAAAATCTATATATATATATATATATATATATATATATATATATATATATATATATATATATATATATATATATATATATATATATATATATATATATATATATATATATATATATCATTAAATATAGCATTCAGCCTTTTTTCCATTCCTCACACTATTCACTAACCGTGCTGAAATCAACTTGCATGCTGGCTGCATGCACATAAATATTCTCAACCATTTTATATTTTATAAATATAGATGGAAACAGCGCAATGTTTTTGAAAGTTGATTTGGAGTGATTGCAAAAGAGCGCTCACTCTTCACTTTGTTGAACATTTTTTAATGTCTTACATAGGAAAACATCAACCAACTTCTTGGAAAATTCTATACCACAAAGGGTCGATATGCGGTTGAATGTCCAGATAAAGAGGTTGGTCCTGAAAGCTGCGACCATCGCTTGTTGTGTAAATCGTGTATAAACTACATGTTTTTCTCTATTAGCATTGCATGTAATATATATCATACACAAGAGGCTGTTTAGTATTTGATCCCAAAATTCATTTCTCAGGTTTGTTCATAGTTACTTATTATCTCTAAACAAGGTCTCTAAAGTTGATTTCTTTTCTCTTCTTTGGTGTCGCAGTCGTCAGAGCAAGCGCCTGTCACATCTGAAATCTTGGGTTCAATTCTCGCTACGGACTAATGTGCAAACTTATGTGAAAAGAGTCAATGCCATAGATATCTTATATACACTAGATAGCGCATCTCTTTTATAGTAAAATTGAAGCCAAGAATATTCCAGCGGTTACCCCCATTTGAATAGATGGCGGCCATGTTGGTCGTTCCCATTTGCTAATAAACGCTTAAAAACAACAATAACTTTCATCATTTGAATAGTTTAAAAACGTGTTTGGAATAGGGTTAACTTAATGTTTAAGTTCTCTGTTTAAGAAATAGAAAACATACGAATCTTCTCATTTCATGGGAACGACCTGAGACTCCAATCACAGCTTCAATTGTTGAATTGCAGAATAATTAGATGCACTATCTACTAGATAGTATCTAGTGTATATAAGATATCTATGATCAATGATCTGCTTAATGTTATGGGTTTTTTCCAGTCACTGTCTGCTTTCCTCCCGCAGGGAAAGTTGACAGGGTGGGTTAATTAGGATGAACATAGTTAGGAAAGTAATATCTCAGTTGCAAAGATAAATAGTCTAGGCTATGTAGGTAGACTGTATAAGTAATCATAACACTTGATGTAATCAGTTACTGAAAAGCCCCGATGGGAAGTAAGCTGAATAATGTATACTGTAGTATAATAAATATTAAGGTTAGTGAGTTTAGAATGGTAATTATATCTTTGACATTTTTTTTAAATTCTAATGTTAATTCATTATAGAGAGCTTTGAAGCCGGAATTTTCAAATTCTCCGACTGGTAAGACCTGCCAAGGACTGATGATCAGGTTCAGAAAGTATGAAAATGCCAAATTTTCATACTGGAGAAGTGAGGAAAGGCGACGGGTAGATATAATTGAACATTGACTTCGTTTGGAACAAATTTTACACTAATTATAGTAATTTGTAAGCTGTCATTCATTGCCTATTGTTTGATTTCCTCATCTAGCTTGTTGGTATTGGTGGGAATGATCGGCTTTTGGGTGCACACTAAGATACTGTCACAGTTAAGATTATTCAGTTCATTGGGCACAAGCACACTGGGTGCAACAAACCACTGCTACTTGAGGAGATTATTGTTGCAGTAAGTAATACCCGAATGCAGCTTTTGGTGTGCATGGAGTAGATTTAAGGCCATCACAGCCCAACGCTATCTTTAATTACCCCCATCAATGTGTAGATACAGTGCCGTACTTGCATGTAGTCTTGTAGATACCAACTTGCATGTAGTCTTCATGTACACACAAAAGCGTATACACATGTAAAAATCTCACAACTTGTCAGCAAGATGTGTTTGCAATTGTAGCAAGCTTGTCAACAAGTTGTAACATTGCTGTTATTCTAAAAAGTTGCTACAAGGTTGTCATTCACAACTTGTTGACAAATTGTTGACTTGCAGGACAATAAAAAATTCTTGGAACAACATGCAACAAGTCTGTTGAGTTCAACAACCTTGTTGTAAGTTGTCAACAGCCCGTTGGCAACTTTTCAGCAAGCTGGGAACAAGCAGTGCGAACATATCCTGTTGACAGGTTGTTAGAACAGCATTAATTGCTACAAGTCTGTTGCAAGTTTGTTACAACTTGTGCGTTTTTACGTGTGCAGTATTCATGTACACGCAAAATCGCTCAACTACTGTATATCTTTGTGCAGCAAATTCATTACTACGTCTACTGTACACAAAGCTTTGGACTCAACTTTGCGATAAATGAAGCCAATTTCAGCTACAGTTTCTTTGCCATAGCTATAGGCTTTGCCTTATTATTAAGTTAAGCAAGAAGCCTCGTTTCAAGCTTTACTTGTTTAGTTCAAAACAGCAAACAATCATATAAATTATAATGTCAGGGTGCGATAATTCGAGATTTTCAGTCGTACCTGACTGGTAAACTCTGATTATTATTGCCTCTTACTTGAGCTGTTAAGAACTTGAGACTCAAGGTTTACTTACTCTTTGGAATGATGCCATAAAGTACAGGTTTCTTTAAGGTATTCATTCAATAACCTGAATCTACAAATTAGAACGAGAAGGACGACAATTACGCAAAACATCAGAATTGACTCCAACATTCCCATCAGTCCACGCAAACTTCGTGTAGTTTGACTATATATAGAAAGGGTGTAGCAGTTAGAGTGTAGTACATGGAGTTTGTGTGTAATCTACGTTGCGTGTACACGAAGGCTACACGCAATATAGTCCACGAAGGGCGTTACAATACTTCAGGACGGCACTGTAGGAGTCTGTCCATTTCATGTAGAGGCTTAGTACAATGATGCGATTTTATCTCTGGGAATAATTGCATATTATTCTGCAATAAGGAATGATGGAAGAACATAATGCAAATCTAGGTCCTTATACATTCAATGGTATCTGATTGTTCAGAATAGGCTCACTATTAACTCAATATTTTGTTTTCTACAGCGCAAATATATCAGAGAAATTACAGTAGAGAGAGCCCGAAAGCTTAAGGGCTTCTGGAGTTCGTTTTACACGTGGAAGACAAATAAATGGCCAAACGGCATTTCTCCAGAAGATTGCAATATCCTTCACCACGAAGATAGAATTAGCTATCAAGAAGAGTAGTAACATTTTTAAATTATAATAGCATCCCATTTCTTGACATTGTTAAGAAGTCCCTGACTGTTTTCCTACATCTAAAGCCCGAATGAAAGGGCATGAGTATCGGCAGTTAGGAGACCTTGGTTTGCTATTCTATTGCTTTGGAACACTCATGATTCAAGAAACCCCTTTGTTAACGTAGAACTTAAAATGTCCCATGATGTGACTATTTGTGACTGCCATGCAAGTGCCAACTCTCATCAACTTCCATTATTGTTTGACCAGGGTTTCATTGATAAAACTCTAATACAGCGTTGGTGCAGCTCCTTGAACTACTTGCAAAGTGCTTAAATTGAAACATCGATCTCAAGGGCACTTGAAAAGGCGCCCTTGAAAATACAAAACCTGTTAAAAGACTTTGAAAAGTGCTTGAAAATCACTTATATATTAATAAATTATAATTAACAAAGTCGCTTAGTTTACTGATCTTCTCGTCACTGTGACTGTCAACACATGGACAGCGAGCTCTGAAATTCCTCAGTATTCCCTAACATTCCGCTACTAAAATCGCGTCAAAACAGCGACCACATCTCGAATAATGTCGTGATGTCGACATCAGAGAGGTTGAGATTTTTACTCCCTGTCGTTACCGCTGACTGGCACTGTAACATCTGATTTGTTAATCGGGAAGATTAATTAAACGTATCTGATTGTATACAAACAGACATAAAATGCATAAATTAGTCTACCCGTCCACACGTGTCCGGATTCGTTTCTATTCGCAAACATTTTGTTGCGGTTTCAAAACTTATTACAAAGTTTATTTTTCGTCAGTGATTAGTATAAAAGCTCATGTAATTTCCCGAGCCCCGCTAATAAGCGAAGATCCTCCATCGGGAGTTAGTATCGGCGGTTGGGAAAATTACATTTTTTACATTTTTCCTGTGTTTAGCTCTATCTGTCTTTGCCTTTCAAAAGCAGACATTGGCAATAGCTTATTTTTATTGACAATACTTTTAATTCTGCTAACTGCCGACGAAGGGCCTTCGGCCCAAGCGTATAAATTTCCCTATATTTTTCTGGTACTTGCATCTCTACCAGCGAAATCTTGGTCTGAATTGATCTCATTACACTATAGATTATAGTATACTTAATTATACTGTTCACTAAAAATTATTTAGAAACAAAAAAATTGACTTACATGTAACATGTAATAGTTAAATTTATTATTGTTATTTATATAATATACCGCGTGGTTGGGGAAAAAAGGCCATAGACCTTTGTGGTATTACTTCAAATGCAATTTCCAAACTTTCTCTTCCTCGCGCCACTATCGCCAAGGTTAATATTTATGTAATTTCTTCACCAATTTCTAAAAACCGGAGCTAAATCTTTGAAGCTTGAGTCTTAGATGTTTTTGCGACTAATTCTCTTAGTAAACTAAAGTTTAGCAAAAAGCGTCTTTGCCTGTTAATCCAATCTGAGATCCAGTCAATTTCGTATTTCATTTCATTAATATCAACAATGCCGTTGTAACTTGTTGGCAGATTTCGTATACAGGCTTGTAAATACAGCACCGCTACAAGCTGCTGGAACAAATTTATTATACAATTTCCCGACCACAAAAACTCGTCAACAAGTTGTTTCAACAAGCATGATATGGCTTGAGGTCGACAAGCTTGGTACAAGTTGTTCCAACAACTTGCTACAGGTCTACATACCAACAAGTTGTTACAACCTGTTGACAACATGCGTGCTACAAGTTGATAAAATAAATAACAAGTTACAAGGTTGTTCCCAGGGCTGTCCTCAGGAAATTCTTCAGGGGGGTGTAATAAGGTCAATTCAACCGACTGGTTCAAAAAAAAATTTTCCGGGTCAAAAATTTATTTTTTGTCGCCAAAAAAATTTCGGTCAGTGTACCATTTTAGGGGTCCAAAAATTTTTCCGGACGTACAAAAATTTTCCGGAACATTCAAAAATTTTCCGCACA